GAAAGCCACGTCCATATCCCCCAGCTGGAATTCTAACATTCCCCGTAGTCAAATTCGAAAATTTTCCTGCATTTCCCTGTATTGGGTTTCCCATGCTAGTCATCACTTGTTTACCTCGACCCATTATAGGCCTAGGTGGTGCATTATGAGTAAATTTTTTTTTGGTAGAATATGTTTTGTTCTATCCCTCTTTATGTATCTATCTTTCAATTGTGTAATACATGCAACATTATCTTCATATATAACTGTCGATATCATTTTTGTAGAAGATAAACTACAAGTTTCTCGTACATGTTGAATCATATATATTAGTCAAACACATTCATGACTTGTCTCATGTAATGATAATAAAATTTGTGCATGATTAGATGAAGTGACTGCTATAATTTATTTTATAGATCATCGTGAAATGTCTGTACCACCACTAGTAAACAAATATCCTATTTGTGATTTACTATTATGAAGATCTGACAAATAACCTACGTCTACATAATCATTTAGTTTTGGTTAGAGAACCTTTGAATATAATAATCCCATATCCATTGTACCTCTAAGATAACGATGAATTTGTTTAACTTCATTCCAATGTCTTCGTGTAGGTGAAGAACTATATATTGCTAACAAATTAACAATAAATGTTGTATCAGGTCGTGTATAATTAACAAGATACATTAATGTCCTTATAACATTGAGAAATGATACTTCAAGACCAAGTATTTCTTCATCCTTTTCTTGTGAGGTCTAAATGAATTTTTGTTAACATCTAAAAATCTTACTACCATAGGAGTATGCAATGGATGTGATTTATCTATATAAAACATTTTAAGCACATTTATTATATAAGCTTCTTGATGCACAAAAATTTCATTTTTTAAATATTCGATTTGCAATCCTAAGCAAAACTTTGTCCTTCTTAGATCATTTATTTCAAATTCTTTCTTTAGGCAATCTATTGCCCTTGAAAGCTCTTCAAGAGTTCCAATAATGTTTATGTCATCTACATAAACTACAATTATGATAAATCCATTTTTAGATCTTTTAATTAATATGCATGGACAAATTAGATCATTTCTATATCCTTGTAACAAATATTAATTTACTTAGACGATTATACCATATACAACCTGTTTGGTTTAGTCCATATAGAGATTTATTCAACTTGATCAAATAATCTTCTCTAAAAATTACATTGTTGGGCAAATTAAATCCTTTAGGGAGTTTCATATAAATGTCAACATCAAGAGAGTCATACAAATATGTTGTAACTACATCCATTAGATATAAATTAAGTTTTTGATGTACAACCAAACTAATTAAGTATCGTAAAGTACTTGCATCCACTAACCATTCTTTTGAAGATCATGAGTAAATTTTTTTTTGGTAGAATATGTTTTGTTCTATCCCTCTTTATGTATCTATCTTTCAATTGTGTAATACATGCAACATTATCTTCATATATAACTGTCGATATCATTTTTGTAGAAGATAAACTACAAGTTTCTCGTACATGTTGAATCATATATATTAGTCAAACACATTCATGACTTGTCTCATGTAATGATAATAAAATTTGTGCATGATTAGATGAAGTGACTGCTATAATTTATTTTATAGATCATCGTGAAATGTCTGTACCACCACTAGTAAACAAATATCCTATTTGTGATTTACTATTATGAAGATCTGACAAATAACCTACGTCTACATAATCATTTAGTAGGAAAGCTGACACAAAGTAGGGGCGTTCATTTCGACCCACCTCGAATCCATGTCTATTAAGTATCCTTTCTACCATTTGGTCTAAGTTATCCTGTGGGTTTCTATTAGGTCGAACTACATTCTGATGAAAATTTTCATGCCCCCCAGGATTTTCCATCTCATTCAAATTTCCACTCATGGCTCTCGAAGGTGACCCCTGTCCTAATTTATCTCCAATTTTATTTATCAATTCATACAAAGGAGTCATAATATTATGCATTTGTGTTGACAACAAATTGACCATGTCATGATTACTGTGGTCTATTTGTTGTCGAAGAGTCATCATGGCTTGGTTACTAATACCCGTAGGTACATAACTCCCTGGTCGAATTAAAGAACCTTCCTGACTTGTCCCTACATGTTGATATGGGTCTTGCATGAAAAAACCCAAACCATTTGGCCCAGGGTTGTACCCTTGTGGGGGTACGTGTACTTGTGGGTTAGTCCCTAAAAAGGGTATAGGCATTTCTACCTGTACAGGTTGGGTATTACGCCAATTTTGTGGCATGCCCCAGGGGTATTCTCGACTAACGTTAGTCAATTCTTGAGTCATATTAATTTGCCTAGCCCCATGCTCAAGCCTAGGAACATTTTCGACCAGGACCGAGGACGATCCTGTTGCCCCCCTTGTTCCATTAGTCACATTATCAAGATGAGGACTCTCTAGTTCTACATCAACATGGTTATCATTATTTGTTTCTCTCCTATTGCTAGCATTAGATGTAGACATAGTTCTTCCACTCCTAAGTCTCATACAACACGTGCACCTAAAACTAGTCCAATTATGTTCAATTTCAATGAGTCCCACCGGGCGTGCCAATTTGTTTACGGTGGAATATGTTTTATGAATCCTTGTTATTTAGACTAGCACACAATGTGTTTCAATTTAGGTACTTCACTGTGTTATTGCGGTATTGAGAACAAAAAGTAGAGTAAGAAGTCTCAGTAATTACTTGTTTCGAAATGTTCTTCTATTAATACTAACAAGCAATGTTCATGCACGCAAATAATAATGTGAACAGAATGAACAATACATATATTAGCAATGCAAATCATAGTTCATTTCGTACAATGATCAAATTACGTTACACATGAGAACATATTGATCTAAGTATATGAATACACTAAGTGATTAAACAAAGAACAAGAAGACTATTCTACTTCTACTCCTAAAAAGAGAAAAGAAAAGTGGTCGAGAGTCAGTCATACCCAAAAACGATCTTGTGCACGCAAGCCATATGTGTGTTTAGGCAGAGAGTGCTTCAGAGTTCAATTCTAGTATGAGTTTTTCGACCTCTGTGAAGGTCCGTAATCCTTGTATTTATAAAGCACTCAAGAGAGGTTAATTCTGTGCATGTACGCCTCTAACTCATAACCGCTGTCCACTATATTTGCTACGTGGTCTTGAATTATAACTTCCTTTAACCGTTCTTCCCACGTTTCTTGTTTCTTCGATTGATTTTTTGGCGACCGTTTTGGCTTAACTTCCATGTTCTGAGAGTTTCAACTTTTCAATTATTCTCGAGTAACACTTGTTTGTTCGATTCTATCTCGAGTGCTCCCACGTCCCACGTGAGATTTGTCATAAGTACTCAGCATGTGTTGATTTTACTTCTCGGGCAGCGCTATCAATCTTTTTCGAGTCCCATAATTTCGAGTGGATCCAACAGTTGGTATATTCAGGATTCCTTTCATGTTGCACCTAGTTCAAAAATTAATTTAAATATAATGATGATATTCAACAATATAGTGTCATATAAGGTAGGATTTTTATGATAATTAATAAATAAAAAAATCGAGTGATTTCTATCGTAATTGATAAATAATATATAAAAAACTTAAATATATTTTGAATCTCATACAAAATGAGCAAAATTCAATTCTAGTATCTGATATTCTTTTTCATCTTTCTAAAACTTGGAAGCATCTTTTTTATCCTTATAAAATGTTTTTGTCATTGTAAAATAAGTAAATTTTAGTTTTAGTTCATATAAAATATTTTTTATTTTTTAAAATTTAAAATTTTTATTTTTATTCCTAAGAACGATTTTAATATATATAAATATCATTTATTTTGATGACCAATAAAATTTTTAAGAAGTGTCACACACTAACATTATATCATTAACAATTATAAATTTAGACTTTAGGGTTTATGATTTAGAGTTTAAGATTTAGTTAAAAATAATTCTAAAAATAATAGTTTTAAATTTTAAAGGATCAAAAATAAAGAAAAAAAATTTATAGTGACCAAAAGTAATACTTGTTCATTTTATAAGGAAAATAATAGTAGACAAAAAATTAAGCTTTGCAAGCTTCTTACAGAAAAACAAGATTTCATTTTTTTTAATTATGAACATGATTACATATATTTACGTAAACAATAAATCAAAATCATTGCAAAATAAAAAATAAAGATGCTCACATTTCAAATGTGTATTTTAAATCTGATTTCTCAAAATAAAAATCTATCCGTCCAAATTTAATTCATTGAAATAAACTTTTGACAAATTTTATGATTAAACCTATTGTTGAAATAATTTTAAAATAATTCATAAAAAAATTATAAGTCACTTTTAAATTTTTAAACAAACATTTTGTTAACCTTCTAAAGTTTTTAGGTGGCCTATAGATTGGAATACATTGTAGTCTCCTTTGGCTAAATTGTCATGCTTATTGGAATGGAACCGAGGATCTTCACACTGATCAATCTATGAGTGTGAAAAAAAAAACACTACTAGTCATCAATTCATAACCGTCTGATGAAGATAACGTAACACGAATCATGTTTTATTCTTATATTTAAAACATTCATTTAAGATCTGAATCAGCTAAAAAAATTTTCCAACGATTATAAATACTTCGTTGGATGAATATGTGTGATTCCCTCAATTCCAAGTATAGGCGCGCTTGACTTATAACATAATTTTGTGCATCATTGATTCAATCTCCAAAGGAAAAGAAAGCTTAGAAACAAATAGTTTATGGATAATATTACATGCATGCATAAAACCCCTTTTTCCCTCCATTTTCTTTTTGCTTTGTTTCGTTTCATCTCTCGAATTTCTACACATTTCACTTGATAACTGCTCCATCCTTATCACAAGGAAGCTTCTTCTCATACGTTGACTATGACCAAACATGTTGTGAGGGAAGATTGCTCGGACCAAAAGGGCTAAAGCTGAAAAGTCAGAATTGTGTTTGTGAGATGCTGAACAACATAATAGCTCTTTGACCTTAACTATGAGATGGACTTGTTCCTTCCATTCATCTTTTATTTTTCATCTATCTCCACTACCATTGCTAGCAACGTACAACATCAACATGAGGAACCCACGCTTCAGCCTCTCACTTCTCATACTCCTTTTCTCAATATTCACCAACAATTCCCTTGCAGCTCTCACCACCGTCTCCACAAACCAAACTCTAACTGGTGACCAAACCCTCGTCTCAAAAGGTGGAATCTTCGAACTCGGTTTCTTCAAGCCAGGTAACTCCTCTAACTACTACATAGGCATATGGTACAAAAAGATTAGCCAAAGAACAATTGTTTGGGTAGCTAATAGAGACAACCCAGTCTCTGATAAGAACACTGCAAAATTAACAACATGGGGTGGTAATTTAGTTCTCTTGGACGCCTCTTCAAATAAAGTTTGGTCAACAAACATTACTTCTCCAAGTTCACCTTCTGTTGTAGTAGCTGTGCTCCTAGATTCCGGGAATCTTGTCTTAACAGAAAGTCCTAGTGATGCTTCTGCTTCAGACTCACTCTGGCAGAGTTTTGATCACCTAACAGACACGTTCCTTCCGGGTGGCAAAATTAAACTAGACCATAAAACAAAGAAGCCTCAATACCTGACTTCATGGAAGAACAACGAAAACCCTGCCACGGGTCTCTTCTCTCTCGAACTAGACCGATCCGGTGCTTATATCATTCGTAGGAACAAGTCTGAAGAATATTGGACAAGTGGTCCCTGGAATGGACACATTTTCAACTTGGTTCCCGAGATGAGGTTGAATTATATCTTCAATTTCTCCTTTGTGTCGAACGAGAACGAGAGCTATTTAACATACTCCGTGTATAACTATTCTATTTTATCTCGGTTAGTGATGGATGTCACGGGGCAGATCAAGCAACTCTCGTGGTTGGAGAATGCTCAGCAATGGAACTTGTTTTGGTCACAACCGAGACAACAGTGTGAGGTATACGCCTTTTGTGGTGCGTTTGGGAGCTGCGCTGAGAACTCGATGCCTTATTGTAGCTGTTTGACTGGTTTTGAGCCACAGTCACCCTCTGATTGGAATCTGGGGGATAATTCAGGTGGGTGCGAGAGGAAAACCAAGTTGCAATGCAATAATTCCGATCCCTCTAACGGGGATAAGGATAGGTTTTTTGCAATTTCAAACATGGCCTTACCTAAACATGCAGAATCCGTTGGAGTAGGGAATGCAGAGGAATGTGAATCAACCTGTTTGAGTCACTGCTCCTGCACAGCTTATGCATATGACAGTAACGGGTGTTCAATTTGGTTTGGCAACCTTCTGAATGTGCAACAACTATCTTTAGACGATAGTAGTGGACAAACTTTGTATCTCAGACTTGCAGCATCTGAATTCAATGATGGTAAAAACAGAACCGGGATGATTATCGGTGTGGTTGTAGGCGGGTTTTTTGTCATTGGTGTTCTCTTGGCCCTTCTGTTTGTCAGGAATAATCGAAGAAAGGAAACAGTTGGAACCGTGGAGGGTTCGTTGGTGGTATTTAGGTACGGAGAATTGCAAAATGCAACCGAGGATTTCTCTGAGAAATTGGGAGGAGGAGGAGGGTTTGGTTCTACTTTCAAAGGAATATTGAATGATTCCAGCGTGGTAGCAGTGAAGAAATTGGAAAGTATTGGACAAGGAGAGAAGCATTTCCGAACAGAAGTTAGTACAATAGGGACAGTGCATCATGTAAACCTTGTTAGGCTACATGGATTCTGCTCTGAAGGTGGCAAAAGGTTTCTAGTTTATGATTACATGCCAAATGGCTCATTGGATTCCCATTTGTTCCAGAACAAGAACTCTAAGGTGGTATTGGATTGGAAAACGAGATACCAAATTGCTTTGGGAACAGCAAGGGCATTGGCTTACCTTCATGAGAAATGTAGACACTGTATCATACACTGTGATGTAAAGCCAGAAAACATTCTCCTAGATGCTGATTTTTGTCCCAAGGTTGCAGACTTTGGCTTGGCTAAACTTGTTGGAAGGGACTTCAGCAGGGTATTGACAAGTATGAGAGGAACAAGGGGTTATCTTGCTCCTGAGTGGATTTCTGGGGTGCCTATCACAGCCAAAGCTGACGTGTACAGCTATGGAATGATGCTTTTTGAGTTTGTATCAGGTAAGAGAAACTCTCAGCCATTTGATGATGGCCAATTTACCTTCTTTCCTACCTTTGCAGCAAATGTTGTTGTCCAAGGTGGAAATGTTCTAAGCCTTTTGGACCCTATTTTGGAGGGAAATGCTGACACTGAAGAGGTAACACGATTAACAACAGTTGCATCGTGGTGTGTACAAGAAAATGAGAGTCATCGGCCAACCATGGATCAGGTAGTTTATATCCTTGATGGGGTCTTGGACGTGAATTTACCTCCAATTCCAAGATCTCTTCAAGTGCTTCTCGACAACTAGGAGAATTTTGCTTAATTGTTATGAAGAAAATTTTAGAATAAGATTTGTGTCTTATATCTTTACTGAGTCAGCAGGTCAGTTAGTTGTTAGTTCTGTTTTGGAGAGGAAGTTAGAGTTTAAATAATAGTGGGATAGATTGATTTCATAGATTCTTGTATTGTAATCTTTCAGTATTTTTCGGGTCAATTATAATACTCTCTTCGGATTCCTTTCTCGTATAGATATCTCTGTTCATTCTTTTGAATTGTTAAGAATCCTAGTTCTAAGAAATTTCTTAACATTAATTATGAGATTCTCCTCTCCATGATAGTTCCATATTCAATTAAAGTATTGTTATTTCATATAGATATTACTATAGGCAAAGGGGGTAAGGTTTAGCATTATCTGCAACCTTATTAAGGGTAGCGTAAATGATAAGTAATTGATAAGTAAATCAACCAATGTAATAATAAATAAGACAAAAGGTTAAGTTATTGATCATAGAGACTTGTATTTATAATTACTTATATATTGAAAAAGAAAACTAGTTTTGGTTCATGTTATTTATTTATATATATATATATATATATATATATATAATTTTCTTTATAGTTGTTATTTGCTACATTAATTATAATAGTTATATATATTACTTTTAGCATGTATGAGAGTTATTTTTCTACATTTGTTCTTTTAATTTTTTTGGTTTAGTTTCAAAACTTTAATTTTTCTAAGATTTCAATATATTTTTATGAATTTTTTTAATCATATTTTTATATGTAGTTGAAATAATTAAAATTAATATAAGTGAAACATTAATATTATTTTTTAGTGAAGAAATAATAAAGATGAATAATTAATGTATATAAGTTAAATGTTTGTTAATTTATGTGTAAAAGGAGTAATGATATACGTTTCGAAATTATATTCTGAATCACGTTTTGAATATTAAAATGTTAATATTTTTTAATAAATTTATTATAAAATAATTATTTAATTTAATGTTTTATAATTTAAATTATTATTTTAATCATTTTTAATGCTAAACCCTAAAGGAGCTCAATCATTTTTCGTGTAAAAGATGTTAGAATCAAAATTTTAAAACAGAGACTGTACAAATGAGCTGAAATGCACTCAGTGAGTGTGTGTTTGATTTGACTCCATTCCCATGAAAGCAATACCATTATTGTTTCTAATGTATGTCCAAACATACATAATAATTGAGATTTTAAAGATGAAAAAAAATGCTTTACTGTAAAGTAATATTCAATGTTAGTTTGTGGCAAAAGGAGCGATGACTCAATTTGTTTAGAAATTAAAATATATGACGAAGATAACTGTTCACGAGTCACTCCTTTGTGAATCTGGAGATAGCTTTTTGTCTGGACTCCAAAAGACACTCCTCCGCATCTAAATCACATCAATGAGTACAATAACATCTACTACATATCAAATAGCGTAATTTTGATTGAATATAAAACCAACATAGAAAGAGAATTTCATGATTTACTTCATTCCTTATAACAATTACAATTACATTCAAGGCAGAGGAATGATACATGGATAACTGCTACGTTATACGAACCTATCATCTTGCTGTACTTATTTCTTCTTATCACATGATATTATTTATCACACCAACAATTGTCTCTCTCTACGTGTATACGAACTCTCGGTGTTGAAGGATAATTATATTCGTACAACCAAAAAAAAATGTTATATTTTGCATGAGTAACAAATAACAATAGAGAGACACGTCCTCTATTTTTCTCCTCGCAAGGACTTGTTGCATGCAGAAGAGATGTTACTTTTGGCTTGAGGAGGAGTTCTTAGAGACGTTGCTCTTCACCTGTGAGCTCTGCGAGGAGTTTGAGTCAGTGAAGAAAACTAAACTCTCGTGGCTGTCAACAAACATTTGAAGGGATCTTGGAATGGGAGGCAAATTCAGCTCCAAGATCCCCTCAAGGATTTGCACCACCTGACCCATGCTTGGCCTGTGAGCCTCATTGTCTTGGACACACCACGAAGCAACTTTAATGATTCGAGTCACCTCCTCAATCTCAGCATTACCCTCCAAACCAGGGTCCAAAAGGCTAACAACATCGCCACCTTGCACAACAACATTTGCTGCCAAGGTAGGAAAGAAGGTAAATTTGCCATCTTCTGATGGCTCAGAGTTCCTCCTACCTGATACAAACTCAAAAAGCATCATTCCATAGCTGTACACATCAGCTTTGGCTGTGAAAGCCACCCCAGAAATCCACTCTGGCGCAAGATAACCCCTTGTTCCTCTCATTGTTGTCAATACCCTGCTGAAGTCCCTTCCAACAAGTTTAGCCAAGCCAAAGTCTGCAACCTTGGGACAAAAATCAGCATCTAAGACAATGTTTTCTGGCTTTACATCACAGTGTATGATACAATCTCTACACTTCTCGTGAAGGTAAGTTAATCCCCTCGCTGTTCCCAATGCGATTTGGTATCTCATTTTCCAATCCAACGCCTTAAAATTCTTATTCTGGAATAAATGAAAATCCAAGGACCCATTTGGCATGTAATCATAAACTAGCAACCTTTTGGCACCTTCGGAGCAGAATCCACGTAGCCTAACGAGATTAACATGTTGCACTGTCCCTATTGTACTAACTTCTGTTCTGAACTGTTTCTCTCCCTGTCTAATGCCTTCCAGCTTCTTCACTGCTACCAAACTTGAATCACCCAACGTTCCTTTGAAAACAGAACCAAACCCTCCTCCTCCCAGTTTCTCAGAGAAATTCCTCGTTGCGTTTTGCAAATCTCTGTACCCAAACGCCACCAACGTACCCTCCACAGGCTTTCCTGCACCAACCATTCTCTTCCTTCGCCTAATCAAGAAAAACAAAAGAAGGGCCAAGAGAACCACATTGCCAACAACCACACCCACAACAATAATAGTCACGTTATTGTTTTCATCATCATGAAACTCAGATGCTGAAAGTTTGAGAAGCAAAGTTTGTCCGCTACTATCATCTGAAGATAACTGTTGCAGATTCAGAAGGTTTCCAATCCAAATCGAACATTGGTTACTGACATATGCATAAGCAGTGCAGGAGCAGTTACTCAAACAGGTTGATTCACATTCCTCTGCATTCCCTACTCCAACGGATTCTGCATGTTTAGGTAAGGCCATGTTTGGAATAGCTAAAAACCTATCCTTATCCCCGTTAAATGAATTGGAATGCTCGCATTGCAACTTGGTTTTCCTTTCACACCCACCTGAGTGATCCTCCAAATTCCAATCAGAGAGTGACTTTGGCTTAAACCCCGTCAAACAGTTACAATAAGGCATCGAGTTCTCAGTGCAGCTCCCGAACGCACCGCAAAAGGCGTATACCTCACACTGTTGTCTCGGCTGTGACCAAAACAAGTTCCATTGCTGAGCATTCTCCAACCAAGAGAGTTGCTTGATCTGCCCCGAGACATCCATCACAAACCGTGATATAATGGAAGAGTTATACATGGAGTAGGTGAAGTAGCTCTCGTTCTCGTTCGACTCAAACGTGAAATTGTAGATATAATTGGCCCTCATCTCGGGAACCAAGCTGAAAATGTGCCCATTCCAAGGACCACTTGTCCAATACTGTTCAGACTTGTTCCAAAGAATCAAATAAGATGTGCTTCCTTTGGGGTCTAGTTCCAAAGAGAAAAGACCCGTGGCAGGGTTTTCGTTGTTCTTCCATGAAGTCAGGTATTGAGGCTGCTTTGTTTTATTGTCTAGTTTAATTTTTCCACCCGGAAGCCACGTGTCAGTTGGGTGATGAAAGCTCTCCCAGAGAGATTCCTCAGCAGAAGCATCATTAGGACTTTCTGTTAAGATAAGATTCCCAGAATCTAGGAGAACAGCTACAACAGAAGATGAACTTGGAGAAGTAGTGTTTGTTGACCAAACTTGATTTGAAGAGGCATCTAAGAGAACTAAATTACCACCCCATGTTGTTAGTTTTGCAGTGTTCTTATCAGAGACTGGGTTGTCCCTATTTGCTACCCACACAATTGTTTGTACGGTGATTTTTTTGTACCATATGCCTATGTAGTAGTTGGATGAGTTACCTGGCTTGAAGAAACCCAGTTCGAAGATTCCATCTTCTGAGACGAGGGTTTGGTCACCAGAGAGAGTTTGGTTTGCGGAGACAGTGGTGAGAGCTGCAAGGGAAATCTTGGTGAATAGAGAGAAAATGAGAATGAGAATAGAGAAGCGAAAGCATGGGTTCCTCATGTTGATTGCAGGGAGAAACTAAAAGTTGTGTTCATCAAGTGAAATGATGAATGAAGGAACATGTCCAACTGTCTAAGTGATGTTGGAACGAAGGAAAGTAGTTAATGCGCTAACGACGATTGTTGTGTTCATCAAGTGAAACGGGACATTTGTTCTGACTATTCTGAGTTCTCTAATGTGTGTTGTGTGTCCTTGTCATGAGTTGTAAACGTTCTGTGATACGACTTATGTCATGATTCAGCAACCACAATCATTTTGAAAGTATCATGATATATATCGTATGCTTTGTTAATTTTTTTATTTCTTTTTTCTTTTTTTCTTTTTATCGTAATATATTACTCATTATATTTAGACTCATGTCGCTTTTTACTAAGTAACTATTAGAGTTTAATGTTTACCAAGCTCATTAGTATCGAAACAATACAACAAAGTTTATTATGATTTGTGAAGCAGTATTTCTCTTATGGCTAGTTCTTATTCACACTTGGGCTAGACAATAACTCAATCTTCTAAACAGGACAAAACTAAACTTTAGAACAAGAACAGTTATATTTGTATTAAAAAAAAAAAGTAAACAACAACTCTAGAATTGAACTGAAAAAAAGTATTTTACTTGACATAATATACTGGAAAAGCTTTAGTATCATCCAGTTTTGTAAAAGCTGCAGAGATTTTTTTTTTTCCGGGGTAAATGCATAGTCCACACAAATTTTCTTAAATTAAACAAGCATGTCCTGGAGATTTTTCTACTTGCGAGTTGGGTGCATGCAGTTTCAAATTTTAAGGTTTATTATCACCAGACCTGACCAGCTAGATCATTATTATTGTCTATAAATGAATTAGTAAACTAATTGTGTTAGCTTCATAACTTTCTCTAGACTAAGGGAATGGCACAATCAAGCACTTTATCATAATTCAGGACTCAGGAGATTTAAAAAAACAAGGCTCTGCTTCTAATTCCAAATCTAAATCCATGTTTTTTTAATTATAAGGTATTTTCACGTTTAATTTTATTTTATTGTTGGAAGTATTCAAAGAATTAATCCTTGTTCAGTCAATAGAAAACGAAGATTACGTGGCCTCTATTCACGTTTTTCTCTGTTTTCCGTCATTGTCACTTCTTTCAATAAGGATGAAGACATTGGTAATCAAGTTGAGAGGTTAGTTGAGAAAAGACGAGTGGAGTTAATGTGTAATTAATGGAAAGCACATTATAACATTTTCATCGGAAAAATAAAATCTAAAAAGAATCCTAGCCTGTTGAGGTTTTTTTCTATGTGATGTTGACATGATCCTAACTGAGCTTGAATGACAGTGGTAAAGGTGTTGGTGTCCTCGTACTGAAGCAACATATGTATACAAAAGTAGTGGTTATCTTTAGACTTCACGTTCAAATTATAAATAGTTCTAATGCAAATATACTGAGGGAACCTACATGAAAATGAGGTATTTCACTTATGTCAATGGTATGCTATGATCAAGGTCATGTCGAGAACCAGTGCTTGGTGAGTGATTCATTCATACTATAATTAATGCATACTATAGTTAAATACAAATTGCATGTAAAACTATACTCAACTTAGATGGCACTCATGATTTGAAATGTAACATAAAATGTTAATGGTTTAAATATATTTTTAGTCCCTCAAATTTAAGATAAATTTATTTTTAGTTCCTGTAATTTTTAAAAATCTTGTTTTAGTCCCTTAGGTTATCAATAACATATTTGAAAGTGACTAATTAAAACAGTTATGCAATATCAACCAGATTTAATATGATATTTTCAATATAGGTAAATTTTATGCAATAATATTTTATAAATTTTTTAACAAAATTTGAATATAATGACTAAAATAAAATTTTTTGAAATTACTGGAATTAAAAACAATAATTTTAAATTTGAGGACCAAAAATAAATTTACCCTAAATTTGAGGGATTAAAAACATATTTAAGCCAATCTTAATTCATCTTATAAATATTGTTCCACAGTTTTATGCATATTGCTCCTACAAAATAAAAATTATTGATTTGTCATTGTGTAAGGTATTATCTATAATTGTTGGTTCGATGGATTAATCCAAAGTTATTTTTATTTAATCTGAAATTTTGATAATATCATTTATTTAATTTGAATCTAATTTGATTAAGATTAAATGATACATGAAACATGATCATATTATATTATATTTATTTATAGATAAAAATACTGATTTTAATCTTATGTCTAGTTAAATCAATAAATTAAAATTGAAATACATTTTATTATACATATTTCAAAACAAATATTAATTTTTAGCACCAAATTGTGTAATGAAAATGTGTAAAATTAAATTTAAAGTATATTTCAAATTTAATACTGGATTCAATTAGAAGGACTGAGCCTTTTTTAAATACAAAAGATAGATAAGAGAAGGTGCCCCTACATCTACATGTGTCTTTATCTACAATGGCTATAATACTGGCTAGTCCAGCCTCTAAATTCTTAATGCAATTATATGAAATCGTTTACTCATGAGGACCTGTTTGTGTTCCTCTTGGGCTTGTCCTCTTTCTTCATTACATTGGGCTGCTGGGCCTATCAGTTACTTTCCAATACAAAATAATACTAACTCCATTTGAGCCAACTCACCTAATTTTTTTTAATTTAATTGATAATAATAAATTTATAAAAAAAAATGACACATACATTTTTTTTTCTAGTTTTTAAATAAATATTAACTTCTCTTATTTATTTATCTGAGTAACATATACGATTCTTTATATAAAGTAATATTATTCGTACACTGTTAAGAAAGAATAATTATTAGTGTAAGTGTGTCAATAATTGAATAAAACTCAATCTCTTATTTAATCTTAACTTTTAAATTATATCTTAAATATTATATGTTGTGATTTAAATATATATACCGATTTTAATAAGCAATTTTAAAAATTAGGATGAGAATTTATTTTTTCAAAATTGAAGTACAATGAAATTTTCCATAAAGAAGACATAGTATTGTATATAATTCAAAAATAAAAGACAAACATGTATATGATTAGTAGAATATAAATTGATTTTTATTTTTTATCCTTCTCTCATTTCAACTAATGACATTATTTTAAGGGAGGAAAGTGATTTTAAAAAACTAGAGACAGTGTATATCATTTAAACAAACGCAAAGAAATGTGAGTGCAATTTTTTCATAATATATTGTATTTATATTATTTTTTTAAATTACTTTTCTACTACTTCTCTTTCTTAACTAATACTTATATATCTTTTAATTAATTAGAATGCATGTTTTATATTATTTTTTACTCTTAGTTAATAATCATTTTTCTCTCAACCAATTAGAGTGTATACTTTTAAAGAGTTTATAATTAGTACATTATATTAAATTAAGAAAATATATTTTAATTAAGAATATTTTGATTTTAAAAATTAATATAAATAATATGAATTGGAAACAAATATATTAAATTGAATGTTATAAATAAAAATAAGGTAGTAGATGATTCAACGGTTCACTTCATAGTTGATACAAATGATGCATGTGACTATGTCACTTTTTTTTTAGGTGATAGACAGATACATAATGACCTCTAATTTAATAATAATATATTGTATTTTAATAACATTTTAAAAAAGTAGTGTTCTCAATTATTATTATTATTATTTGTATAAGACCATAAGTATTTTTTATGAAAAAATTGTTAATTAGATAGAATTAGTATAGACGAAAAAAAATTCTTTAAATACTTAATAGTTATATATTTAAGTGATTAGCGGTCTCCATTCCTATTAGTTTATGGTTTTGGAATGAGACATTCCTCCTTTTCTCGAACTTTTTCTAGTAAAAGATAAGGTTATTAATATAACTTCCAGAAACTTGTATATACAGCTACAAATTCAACTTTTTTTTCATTTGTGCGTCATAGCAACAAATTCAAAACAACAAGAAACCCCGAGTAGTTGTTGTATTTATATGAAAAGTCATAATAGGCTATAGGCCCACCCGAAATATTGGGATGACTATCCTTTAATTGGGCATTAGACTTTTGGAGCCCAAGTTTGTCTTGATCTGTTCTTCACTATAATTATTTATATTTATAGAATGAATTTAATTTCTGATAATTAGCTACAACAAGAGAGAGAGAGAAATTGGAAATATTTGCTTTGCCCGAGTTTCAGCTTTGAATTGATTTTGATTTTCAAGAGAAACTCAATTAGTTTTATAACATCTTTTGGATTTAATGTCTCAACGACTTCACTTTACGACACTTCACACGGTAACACTTCACATAATTTTTTATTGGTCAAAATCTTTCATTAGTTGGAATCCTTTGTGGATAGTTTTCTTTGAGATGTCTGACCACTTTTAGGATCAACAACTGATTCCAAGGTCACTCATCTCTAAATTACTCTAAATCAAGCACGTTTAACTATGAAGTTATTATGGAATAAGTTATCGAAAAGTATATATATCTTATGTCAAGCACACTTAATGGTGGAGTTCTTATGGATAAGCTACCAAAAAGTATATGCATTTTATTGGTATAGGTAATACAAATTAATTTTTTTAAATAATTATCAACTATACAATCTCATGCTAATACAAATTTCTGGATGTCTCTCATTCTAGTGTGTTCAAGTTGTTACAAGCCCATTAATGTATGCTTCATCCCTAAATCACACCATATTGAGTGAGAGGACCTGCTCTAATACTGTTGTAACACCTCTCAAATTTGAGGTCTCAACAGCTCCACTCCATGGCATTTCACACGGTGATACTTCAAACAACTCCTATTTGGTTAGAACCCTCCATTGATAGCCCTCTTTGAGATGTCCGATCATCAACACAAGGTTTTTCAACATGTTTTGTTCTCACTCGCACACTTTCTAAAAAAACTTTCAAGAAGGTCAACTATCCTTAAATTACTTTAAGTCAAACACATTTGAATGTAGAGTTCTTATGGAATAAACTACAAAAAATTATATACATCTTATTGACATAGGTAATAGAAATTAATTTTTAAATTCATCTTCAACAGTACAATCTCACACTAATACAAATCTATGAATTTCTCTCATTATGATGTGTCCCGACTATTACAAGTTTAACTAACATATTTTGTAAATTTGCTAAATAAGTTAACTAAAAGTTGGGGAAAAAAAGCTAAAAGATGATAAATTAGTTTATTAAAAACTATTTGATAAAAATAAAATAATTTTTTATAATAATGTTATTAATGCAAAATATTTACTAGTTTTTCAATGATAAAATCTCATTGTAGAAAAGACTTGATTGGTTATATTTAATAATTTTTATAATCACATTTTTTTTTCATTCATAACACTTGAACTTGATATTTAAGATTTTGATTTATTGGAATCAAGTCAAATATTACTTGGATCAACCATATGTTGACATAAAACTAATTATTAAAATAATAAAGTAGTCAATATAAGGATAAATTGACATACAAGAAAAAAATTATGAAAAATAATAATGAGAATAAAAAAGAAAGAAAAAGTTATAAGTTTAAACGCTACATTAAATAGTATTTAAAAAATGATATCAAAATATTGCAAGCTATTAAAATAATTATTTATTATATATTAAATTTAATTAATTACTAAAGACACATTTATACTTTGTTTCTCTTTTATTTCTATTGTTTCTTTTAGTGAGGTTATCTCACAAATCCACTATCCCAAACCCCAAGAACAGTGCATTATTTGCAAAATTATTGTCATTCCTAAGAATGATAAGATTTAGGAGATAAGGGGACAGGGGAGAATTAACAGGAAAATACCATCCAATAAAGAACTAAAAGTGAAGAAGCATTACCTACTATTCATATATTAACAATGAAAATTGTAACAAAAAAAATTATTAACAATGATAATTAAGTTGGGGCAAAAAACAATGATAATTAAGAAATTAATTGGTTTTTTTTATTATTTTATTTATTAACCGCCATTTTATTAATTCTTTCGAAAACAAATGTCATTGACCCATGGAGGCACGATAGAGTGATATAAAACCTATCAATTTAATGACTCTACGGAATATTAATTGTCAAGCAGAAATATATTTAGTCTGATCAATTTAATGACTCTTCTGACATCTTAATTACCAATCATCAGGATATTTGAATATTGAGAATAAATTAGTCCAGGAAAAATATTAATTTGCACCATACTTATAGTTGTAAGTTATAACTAGTATGCCTTTTCTGGTTCCAAAGAAAGTTACTGATTAGTGAATTTTATTCTGTTTCCAAATATGCACGTTACAATATTTCAAGAGAAGAGTATAAATTAATTAGTCAAAGAGATTTTTTTTACAGACAAATAGATTAAAAAAAAGATTTTTATATATTATTTTAAAAAGAATGTTGGTAAAATATAAAATTAATTTTACTTTAATACTTTGAAAGGTGTAATTTATTAATACAATTGAGTAATGCTCCCAAAAGAATTGAACATTATAACAACTATTTTAAAGAATTAAACAAATGAGATTATTAACGACTTGTTCGAAACCATTAACAAATCATTTGGAGCGACCAAAATTTACTTTAAGCAATTCAAGTTAAAGAGTATTTCTGAATATTCTTACTTTCTCGTTTTGAGTGACTCTTATGAACTCTTTAAGCAAGCAAGTCCAGAAAACATGCATGAACCAAAAAATAATTCACCAACGCAAGGGACACACTTGACAATTCAAAATTTTCCCGATCATAACTCAAACCCTACATACAACGCATCATATATCATCTACTAACAACATACGACTTAGAATTGAAGAAAACTACAATATGTAACGAGAGTTTTTAGCGAGATCATCAATTTTTCACCTTCACCAAGAAAATCTCAAGAAACTAAGAACACCAAATTTTATTTTCAAATTCAACTTTAATACTTTTCAAAGCATGAATCAACATATTAAAACAACAAATACAACTTAAAAAATCAAACAAATTTCCCTCATCTCAAATCTTCTCCAGAAGAAGAGAAAAGGAATGAAACTCAAAAAATCTAGAACTCTCGTAAAAAGACTCCCAATTCCTCGGCCTATATCATGTCAACTAACGATTAAGGGAAAAAAAGGATTTTCTAGAGAATTGAATCAACAATTAAACTCTATTGATCTAAATTACCTCTTTATAAAATTATGAAATTATAAACTTAAAATGAAAATGGGTGAGTTGGTTAGACGATGAAGTGTTTTCTTTGTCTGGCTGCATTGATTAGATGATGACCTCCCTTATATAAATCCAAATCCAGCATGATCGATTAGCACTCGAGTCAGATTCAGTTAATACGCCACAAAACAGCTGTGATTGAAAACCTCGAATCCCCCACTCGGGTTTCGCAATAGCCGTTCATTTCTTGCAACACGCCATTTATTATGTTACACAAATTGACCCAACACCTTCGTCACCAATGTTATATCATATTTCCACGTCATTTTATTGATATCCCTACTCTAGGATCCCTCCCTCTTCATAAATCTGTCACCCATTTCTCCTCAACAAAAATAACCTGACTACATCTACATGCATTACCTTATCCCCACTTCATTATAACAAAGAGGACCCATATTAATTATTAGTCACCTACATCAACTTGTACGAATTTTTTAAACTTAGATCGCTAATTCGCAAGTATGCAAAAAATATATTGGTAAATATTGGGAGATGAATGAGAAATTAGGTGCAGGCGAGTGGATAATGAAGCATTATCTAATGAGAAAAGTTGACGAAGAAAGCGAACAAAAGCAAGGAATGTGAAAAGACGAAGGCACCCTTTCACACACAAGTGAAGGAAAAAACTAAGAAATTCATAAATTCTAGAAACCTCTCAGACACAGCCTTCGATCCGTCACTATATCAATTGCCCAAACTTCAGAACAAGCTTGCGTTGACCTCCAATTTTATCTCTACGGTTACAGTAAAGACTAAGCTGTTCAACATGAATCCTCAATCGCCGGTTCGGCCGGAACCGGAGGCTCCGCTTCCCACGTTTTCGCCGCGGTTCGCGCTGAGCTCCGGTTCGCAGCGGAGGATCGCGATCGCGGTGGATCTGAGCGACGAGAGCGCGTACGCGGTGCGGTGGGCGGTGCAGAACTACCTGCGGCCGGGCGACGCGGTGATCCTCCTCCACGTGCGTCCGACGAGCGTGCTGTACGGCGCCGACTGGGGCTCGGTGGATCGGAGCGCCACGGAGGAGGGCGACGAGGAGTCGCGGCGGAAGCTGGAGGACGACTTCGACAGCTTCACGGCGGCGAAGGCGAGCGACGTGGCGCAGCCGCTGGTGGAGGCGCAGATACCGTTCAAGATCCACATTGTGAAGGACCACGACATGAAGGAGAGGCTCTGCCTGGAGGTGGAGCGCCTCGCCCTCAGCGCCGTCATCATGGGGAGCCGCGGCTTCGGCGCCTCCAAGCGAGCCTCCAAGGCCAGGCTGGGCAGCGTCAGCGACTACTGCGTCCACCACTGCGTTTGCCCCGTCGTGGTTGTGCGTTTTCCCGAGGACACCGATAACGCCAACGCTAACGGTAACGGTGCTGCCGCTGCTTCTTCTGTGCAGGTTGGCGAACAGCTGGAGCTTCCCCCTGTGCCTGAGGAGGACCACGATGCTTCTGATGACCACAAAGGTTTGCTTAATTTCAATTTCATTATATATACTATTTTTCCATACTGCATGCTTGCTCTTTCTCATTATATTTATCTTATTTCTGTAACATTGGTAGCTGAATGTCGGAGAGATCTCAGAACTTAGACATATTACTTACTTCAATCAAAATTGGCATTTCTCTACGTTGTTATCTTCACTAGGGAATAGTGTCCAGAGAAGCTATGATACTATACTGGCATGTTTCGATGAATTTTACTTATTTAGGAAGAAAAGTAAATTAAGCTTCTTCTGTAAGATTTGTTTTACTTAATACAAGCCTCTTTCTTTACCTGGGTTTGGGAGTGACTATCAGATCATACTTCATAGGCAGTGTTAGGATAATAAAGTAAAAGAATTAAAATAATCACATTATTACTGTACCTGTGCTGCAGTAGCCTTTATGATATTTGTGCTTCATGAAACATGAACAATATTAATCCGCAATAGACCAAACAACACCCTAACTTTTTAACCTGAAATAATAATTGAGCGCTTTGTCATGCATCAGAAATCGAATACTGAATTCAAACTTATAAATGTATATTGCATCCGTAGTGTTTGTAGAAAGGCCAGAAGGTAAATTTTGCATATAGTTTACTCAAATTAGTGGTTTGATTAGATGTGCTTGGTGGTAGAATTGTGTGGATCGACAATGATGATATTTCTCTCTTAATATATATAGCTGAGTTAGCTCTATAATTCGAAAATTTCTACCGGACGTCATTTGTTTCGTAGCTACCTAAAGCTCAATCGGACTCCTATTACTTGTTATGTGTTGCATTTATGTTTAAAACCGTATCCATAACGTGCATGACATTGATCTTTTTATTCTTCTGTATATGACTGCTACAATTTAATGCTTGAAGTTAAAAGCTGGCGGTACTAAACTCAGACGAGGTTGAACACTTACCCATCTACTACTATATGCTCCCCACTTATCCCACAATGCTTCACAATTGGTAGGTAACTTACCAAGATCACTAGGCGTGCGGAACACGCATATAGGCTGGCCATACCCTAGAGTAGGCAAATTGTACTAATTCCCATATACACACCGACTGAGTTCCATATTAAGGCTAATGTTGGATTTGAGAGGTTTGCAAGGACACAGATTTAAAAGTGGTATCTTTACAAAGGGAAATAACAAACCAAAACATGGATATTTATATTCATTTTAAGTTCTAGATTGACATTCTATGTGTTGAAATGGTGTTTTCCATAGTTACGAAAAAGAATATAGAATACAATATTTTTGTTCTTGGAGGCCATCAAATTATGAAATAACCAAAACCTTGTAGGTTTTCATCTATTACATGGGAGTGTATTATTACAGTAATTGATTAATTTCTTCTTATTTAACCTGCTTTTTTTTGTGTGTGAACAGATGCTTAATGAGAGTATAGAGCAATGTCTATTTCCCTACTAACTTCAGGTAATGCATGAGTAACATCTACAATTTGTCAATAACCATTTTATCCTTCCTCAAGTTTGAAATCTAGCTGTTATTGGCTCCCGTTAGATTAAATCTTATTGTAAATGTATAGAAACACCGATGGATAACTGTTAGTTTATGTGCTCTTTTCCCAACTGGGACTTGGACGAGGAAATGTATAGTATTCCCAGTTCTCCCTTTCTTTATTATCTTCCAAGAAATATATTTGGTTGAAATATGAAAAGCCACAACCCCAATGCTCTATAGAAAACTATGTCCATCAAATCAAGAATGAAGTTTTCTTTACAAGACAAACATCAATCTAGTCCATGAAATTGACACCATTGGTCAATTTAGTCCTTCACCTCAAGAAAAGGCAAGTCATGTATATGTTTAGTTGCCTGTTGAACTAATGGAAATGGACGTTGAATGTGAATAACACAGTCAAATGCCAGTTTGAATACATTTTTATTATTGGTTAAATTTCATTAAAAATTACAAAATTTTGTAGGTCTCAAATTTTATTTATTGTTATAATTGTCTATCATAATTTTTTAATTTTTAATAAATTTCAACTGATAATTTTATATAATGTTCAAATGGCTTGAGAGTCAACTTAGCTTTTAAAACATTGAACATGATATTTCGATATCATAAAGATTTTCTATTATGAGAATTGGTTACTTGAATTTTAAAAATTGAATAATGTTATAGTCTACGATGTTTTGTTTAATTTATATAATTTTGGTTTTCGTAGCATGTAATTAACTACTATGAATCTTTTAATTGTTGATTAAATTTAATATATTTTAAAGTTACTATTTAATTATTAATTTTTATATTTGGCCCTTCAATAAAAATGCTTTAACTCCACCCCTGTAGTGAATAGTCAATTTAATCTTGAATTTAAGAACTATATCGGTCTTTAGTCTTTGATTTTAACAACTATCGATCAATTTGATCTTATCCAATTTAGTTCCTAACTTTAGGACGGTTTATTTTTTTTTTGGGGGGTAGTGTAAAGGATAAAAATAACCAATAATGTCAATTTCAGGGATTAGACTGGCATTTTATACTTTTTATTTTTTATTTTTTTCATTGGCAGCTACCGAATTTTTTCATGTACGAAAATTTTCACTTAATAAGTTGCTTTTTACCATCTAAGCTGCTTTATATCATGGCATGTGCATTTTGATTTATTTTTTTTTTTTCTTTTCAGAAACTGCTCACAGCAGCGAGGCATGTGTCAAATGAAGAAGAATGTGTTAAAATTGAAAATTATCTTCTTTGGATAAACTATACATTGTAAAGTGGTTGTTTGGTTGGTTTTAGTTTTAGCGTATGTATGGTTTTGTACAAGTTTGTTTCTTCTCTGCTTCAATACCCATTGACAGAGTTGAATATGCTATATATCTAGTTCGACGATTGATTTGGAGGCTCTTGATCCACTTCATGTTTGGGAACCAATTATAGATTTAAGAAACAAGGAAGGTTTATTTTGATGTCTTATTTTTGTCCTGTAAATAACAGCTTATAGATTTCATGTTTGGAGCTTGATGTTTAGTGTTTACAAGATACTAATTGGCAAAGATTTGGAGGCTTTTAATGACCTGTAAATAATCATGCATCACGTGGCACACCATCTCCATGATTTTTGGGGAATTGTCTTGTATAAAAATCAACACGTTTGAACTGCATACTAGGCTTGTTTCAAATAAATGAAGTTTTAGGGTTAAGATGGGTGGCTAGTAAAAAGAGTTGATCATGTCATGAGGGTAGGTTTTATACCACTGGCGACTAAATTTCCTTGACTCAGCAGTTAAATTCTGCTTGATTTGGGATTGGACAAATAGTTTGCCCAATCAATTACATGATACAACTTGCGAGCTTTTTTTCCTTTTCTGACAAATTATGATTCAGTCCAATGATGGAAGTTGGTTCTCAGTGACATTGCCATCGATTGTTGTGTTGTGCATTGTCGACTCAATTTTGTGGTCCAGTGTATTTGTCCATGCTAGAAAGGGTGATTCGCATCAGGGTTTACAACTCGAGTTCGATTGGAATCAGCTGCTAAAACTTGGATTAATTAGCGGAATAAACTAGGCTTTTGGTAAATTTACTGTATGAATGGAGTCAATTGACGGCAGTTGTGTGAGGACATCTATTTTTCTTTTACCTAAAATCTTTAAATTGTTATTTTCTTTCTAAATATTTGGGAGTTTAAGATGAAGTTACAGCATAAAATAATTTTAAAAGTTTTTGAATTGTAAATTCAGTGAAAAAAATGATAAAATGCGAAGGATTTAATAAAATGTAAATTTAGGATTTAGAGAGGGAATTTTGAGTTTCCTTTCAACTTTATATGAAATTTAATATTTTGCTTAGTGTGTTATGAGTAGAAGATAGTTCAAAACAATTTAGTTTATTTAATACTAACGTAAAAAAATATTTTGTACTTCTATTTGTTTAAAAAATATAAATAGGTATGAGGAGAGATGAGTAAAAAGGTTAAGTATGATAAAAAAAAATATTTTGTACTTCTATCTATTTGTTTTAAATATATAAATAGGTCTGTGTGTGTAAAAAATATTAATAGAGATAAATATAAAAAATAAAAATATCTATTTTAAATTATAAAGATGAAACATTAAATAAAATTATAGAGATTAAAAAGATATTTTGACCAATGTAAAAATAAAGGTTGTACAAAAATCATCTTAAGACTAAATTTACTTAACATAAAAAGGAGATACTTAATGAAAAAATAAATTGTCAAATGAAAATTGTACACAACCTAGATTAAAGGGATTAAAATTATGATTAAATAAAAATATACATAAGGTATTTCTCTAAAGGAAGAAAAAACTTCAGCAAAAAATAATAATTAATATATGCTGTAAGTATAAAAAAAATTTAAATTTTCATTTGATCACAAGTTATACATAGAATGATTCTTGATTAAAAATATAAAATTGTTAGTATATATATATATATATATATATTGCATCTAGATTGGGCCGTCGAATTCATTGAGGGTTTCTTAATTAGGCCTCACATAAGATTCCCATGCATGGACCACAACGATAGTCCAGCTCCGTAATCATTGTATCTGCTTAACATTGTCCAACGACTTTAATGGACTATTATTTTCGCTCGAAATATTGATAGAGCATTTATTTAAATTTGATTATATTAAAACTAATATATAATAAGATAAGAAAACTTAATTTTTTTATATAGTATATCAATTAAATATTTTAAATATAGAACCAATTATTAACTCAGTTAAAATACTAAATTAATAGGTCACGCTTAAACCAATGAACATAAATTAATATATTATTTAATATATAATTTAATATTGAAGATATTATATAAAAATCATATTTATCATACAAATAAAAATAAAATACGTTGATACAGACATACAGTGCTTACTGATTACTTTCCTCTTTCAAGCAAAATTTTCACACATTTTAAAATTCATAATATTTTATATAATCAAATTGTGGAATTAATAAATTATATAGCTATAATTAAAAGTATGTTTTACAATATACTTTGAGATATATAATATTAATAAAAATATAATGTCATATTAATATAACATTATCCATTAAGATAAAGCTTTATATTATTGATACATAATTATTTACAAATACATTTACTTTTAAAAGAATATATGACGCTGCTGTACCAAGTACTTGAGATGATCCAAGATATGAGTAAAATATATCAACTCTAATTTCTTGTACTTAAACTTGTAAAATAACTTTTAATGAAGTTAGGTCTGTGATAGAAGAGGGCTATGAACATAGTGTGCAAGTGTAAATGGCAAACGAGGGCAAAAATGATGTTGTATATGATATATTTGATTAAAGTGTGATGCTAAAATGACTTCAATTCATTGGATTGACTTACTTAACATGCTAAATGGATGGTATGAGTTTGAATTTCTAACCTATTATTAAATGAATCCAACCCAATTTAATCCTTTTTTTTTCCTTGCGTGTTAATTAGGTAGGGTAGTTGGGTTGGCTTTTTAAAATTTTAAATTGTTTTCTTGTATTTATTATAACCTACCAAATACCAAACAATTCATCACCTTAAAAATTAAGATAATATTTTTTAATTCTATTGTCATTGTGAAATAATTTTATTAATGAAATAGGATAGTATAAAGAGATTTATATTATAATTTTGATGGTTTTATAATATAAATAAGTTAAAAAATTGTGATACAAAGAGTATATATCTAATGTTGTGTTTGGTAGTGAGAATGGAAATAGAAGGAATTGTAACACCATAAGTTTTCTAAAACTAAAGAATATTTTGATTAATTAAAGAGATTTTATAAAATATTTTAGAGGTTTTTAATAATTATGAGTATTTTTAATAAATGTTTCAAAAAAATTGTCTAATATTTATTAGAAAAAATGTATTTTTATGATATTTTGTTATAATAAATATTTGAAGAAAAATATATGTTTTATTAAAATTTTTATATATTTTAATTTTATTATAATTGTGTTGGGAGAAATATATTCATTTTATATATTATATATTATTAATTATTAATTATTGTATTTTGTTATAATTATTTGGGTTTGTTTTAATAAATATTGTTTGAATTGTTTTATATGTATATGGATATATTATAAGGTTTTATAATTAAAATGATTTTATTAAGTAAGGGAAGGATTTATAACTGAATTAAAATGTTTTAACTGTTGGGTTAATGAGAAGTTAAGATTTTTTCAAAAAGGGATTACATCAAATGTATTTAGGTAATTGTATGAGAAAATATTATGAGTATGCAATTATGTGTATTATATATGATGTTTGAATTATATATATAATTAATTTTAAGTAATTTGAATTGTTTGAGGATTTGTGAGTGTTTGTAGTTTATAGGAAACCCTTGTTTATAAAGTAAAGTGAAGATTGATGTTAATCGCATAAATATATAAATTTGAGGTTGAATTTGAGTAATTGATGATATAATAAAATAGTATTGGACTTTAATCTATATTTTTACCGATTGGATTAGGAAAAGATAGTGTGAGTGTGAGTTGTATCTTGTTCTGAAAATTCTTATATAAATATACCTTGGTATTTATGTTTGATTAATAAAATTGAGTTTTGATTGTTGGGTTAGAAAGTAGACATTTGGAACTATAGTTTAGACTAAAAAATCACATAAAAATGTTAATGAATGACTGAGTTATGTGAGTTAAAAAATGAACTTCATATTTTCTATGTTAAATGTAACATATGGACATTATAATTCTTTTTAGTAGACTTAAACGGAACAATTAGGTTTTGTAATCCTCATGAAATTTGTAACCATGGATGTTAGCTTTAAAATGCCATTAGAATCACTTAAAAAGGACGTCTAAAACTTGAGTTTTGATCAAATTAGTAAGTAAATATCAAGTTATTAGAATTAGACTAAAATGTTGTAGTTTTGTATTTTTTAAAAATAGTAGATAACAAAATTAGCTTTTGAGATCAACATATAAGTTGTATATAATTGTCTTATCTTTCTAGGAAAATTAGGATCAACTTGATAACATATGTATACCTTTAGATAAGGTGTTTGGTCAACAAAATGTTTGAAAAGATTGTCATGAAATTGTAATTTATGAATGATGATAATGAATAGTTTTACCTTTTAAGTGTTTTATCTTATGGATGGTTTGAGGTACATAAACAATATTTAGGAAAGAGAAATCATGAGAAAGAACAATTGTCACTAAGTTATAATATGAGTTGATTATTAATGACTTAAGGTGCATCAGGTTACAGTGTGTAAACGTGTGTTTGAACTGTGAACATGTGACTTTTATGTGATACATTCTGTTGTGTGTGTTGGTTATCTTGTCCAAGGAATGATTCTTATGCTAATTTATGAATATGATTGGGTATGATGATTAAATATGAAATTGTGATGTTATGATGAATCAATGCTGCAAATGGAATGATGTTGACAAATTGTTGAGATATTGACAAATCGTTGAGATATTGACAAATCGTTGAGCATGTACATTGAGATAGGATATGATATTTAGTATATGTAACATATATCATATACATGCAAATTGACAAATTGTTATATATGCACTGTGCGCATCTTGTGTTTAGTATAACATGCATACAAATTGAGAGTCTGTGCCTATTATATCTCATATTCGCATGTAATTGTGTTGTATCTTGAGATTAATGATTTGATGTATTGTGAACAAGTTATTGTGTTTGATAGTGTTAATTATATGTTAATATAGATGTTATTGCTATAAAGAATGTATTAAGTGTGTTTGGTTATGCATATCTTATTTCATGTCATGAGCTAGAGTGATATGTTTCTCACTCTCTTAGTTTTCATGTTTTTATTGTTATGTATGTTGTGATGCTCATCAGGATATTGATGATATTGGCAACAAGGCTTAAACATTGTGTTGGGAATCCTCTAATAAGATATGTGACATCGATGTTTAGACTAAGATTGTTTTTTACATTATGATATATAAGACTTATGTTTGGAGTTGAATTTTTGCAATTAATGATTTGTTTAT